GCCTGTCTTGTTTGGGGAACGCTTGTATCTTGGCCTAAACCGCAGGACAGAGTCAAGGAACTGGGTGACTCTGCTCTCTGTACCCCGAAGATGATGAAGGATGATGAAGAGAGGGTCCCAATTAGCACCCCAGACCCAATTCCAGGAGGTGGGCCAGGGGGTGGACCAGAGCAAAAGTTACGGGGAGGACACACTTGGGATTGGCCAGATATTGTTATAAATGTAACATCTCGGGCACATCCCGGGACGCGCGTCGTTTACCATCTCTTGCCTTGGCACAATTAAACCCTTTCTTATCTCATCCCAGCTAACGGCTCCTGGATTTTTTTCTTAGCACCAGCTGAGCAGGCATCAGCAGCAATGCACTGTAGAATGGCTGGTGGCATGTATTGCTAACAAACAAAGGCACAGAGGTGGGAAAAGTAAGGTTTCAATTTCCCAAGTTCGTGCTCTCACTATGAAATCTTGATGGGATCTCAAGGAGTGAGATGGAAATATCTGGAGTGAGTCCTCGGACTCCGAGATTGAGTTTGAGCCAGATTTAGCAGATAGGGAGGTGGTAGAAGCATGAACCCTCATACAAGTGGAGGGGCAGAGGGATCTGCCAGACAGAGGAGTACAGATCACATGCACTTATAGTCCGAAAGACTTAAGGGAATTTTTAGAGGTCTACCAGGAGAAGAGTGGGGAAGGCATACTGGCATGGATTTTGCGAGCTTTGCATAGTGGCGCTGCATCTCTCCACTTATTAATGTGTGAAAAAGATCGATTAAGTCCTACAACCAGTGAGGATCAGATACAACAGGGATATGTTCGATTACAAAATATCAGGGGCCCCGATGGGCAGGATGCTGCTGCACCAACATTATATAAGTGGCTGTGTGCAGCAGCTTTAACAGCATATGCAGATGCTGCTGAATTAGTGCAGAAGACTGTTGAGGACTGTAAATCGCTCAAGTGACCTTGCAGCTGGGAATAACCCTTTATAAACCAGTGTCAACAGCAAGCCAGTGATCCTCTAGCATGGACTGAGTGTAATGGTGCCTGCGTCTCTGCTTGTGTGCCTCTGCCTGGACGTTGCTTCGGAGATCCCTCAGTTGGTGAGTTAACGGGAAAAAAATTACTCTTTGTGTTTTAGTCATGTATTTGTGGTTGTCCCAGCTCCCTTCCTGTGCTGACTGACACATAGGTGCTTCATTAGGAGAGACTTGTGGACATGATTAAGAGACTAGAGCACCTCTCCTATGAGGAAAGGTTGAGAGAGATGGGACTGTTTATTCTAGAGAAGAGGAGGTTCAGGGGGGATCTCATTAATGTATATAAATACCTGAAGGGAGGGTGAAAACAAGATGGAGACAGGCTCTTTTCAGTGGTGCTCAGTGACAGGAGAAGAGGCAATGGGCACAAGCTGAAACATAGGAGGTTCTGTCTGAGAATCAGGAAACACTTTTTCACTGTGAGGGTGACTGAGCTCTGGAACAAGTTGCTCAGTGGGGTTGTAGAGATGTTCAAAAGGCACCTGGACATGATCCTGGGTAACCAGCTCTAGGAGGCACTGCTTGATCAGGCAGATTGGACCAGGGCACCTCCAGACATCCCTGCCAACCTCAACCATTTCCCAATTCTGTGAACAGACAGGGGACCCAAGACAGAAATGCATGCACATGTAGACATTTGGCTCTTGAGGCAAGCTAGCGTTTGTAAGAAATCTGTATCAGTCCACACCCTTAAATAACACACCCAAGATAGGTTAAAAAAGGCTCTCATTTCTTTCAAAGACAGAGGGAGAGAGACAAGTTAGAGGTACTGTCAAAGCTCACAGTTCTTCCAGCCTTACTGCATGTCAGATGAGCAATCATGATGGTCCCTTCTGTGTAGAATGACTATGAGAACATTACCTTTGTGCACTGAGCCCAGACTGCTGGCAAAGGCTAAATAGAAGTGGAGAACCAAGAAGCTCCTATGGGAAGAAACTACCCAGTGAAAGTAGTGACAGTTATAAAGGCTTTCTACTGAGCACTTCAGTAGGTCTGACAGTCTACAGAACCAGTTATAATACTAATAATATGGCCACTTCCTGGTCACCTCATTTGACCTCCAAGTCCCCAGAGATGCTTAAGTTAAAATGTAATTTCATTCTGTTCCATGTTCCACCCACTTCATGCAAATGTCTGGTTCTGGCACAGTACCAAATAGATGAAAAATCTGGTTAAATCAGAAGAGTTGCAAATAATCTGAATTACACCATACATACTAAACATAAGTTCTCACAGGCACCTAAAGCAGGACTTGTTCCCCAACAGCTTCAAAAAAGTTCATATCTCTTCCCATTTCTATACATGAATATGCCCTTATCTCCCCAGAAGGGAACATTTTTGCAGCACTTGTAAGCTCAGTATTAGTATCACACTAAGGACAGCTACAGGGTTTTCAGTCAGCACAGAATGCAGGTAAAAGACCAATCTGATCCAAGTCTCATTGGTCTCCAGAGCTAACATACACACAAAGGTCGACATCCTCACATGGGTAAAGTCTCATTTGCCATCTTGCAAGACAGTCTAAGGGCACATGGGCACCCTACCTTCGCCTGTAAAATTCAACACAGCTTCCATACTCCATAGTGCAACATACAGATACTTGGCTGATTAAACAGAGGAAGCAGAAGCAAGCCACGTCTGAGCCCTGAGGTGCAAATTCATAGGAGAGCACACCAAATTCCAGATGTGCTCTTTTCATAGATGTAGTCTCTCTGCAAAGATTGTCACAGGTTTTTCCACATTTTTGGGAAAACAAACCTCTCACACAAATGCACAGTATTCTACAGTCTTCATGTGAATGTCAGGTATGCTGAATGCTAGGGACCTCTTTTCTGAGGCAGTGGTCTTAAGGCAGGAAAATATGTAATATCCCCTCTAGGCCTCCCTTGAAAAATTTTCAAAGGCTATTTTCACTATAGCCCACAGCATTATGAAAATAATCATCAGTAATTTCAAACTAACAAAAATATAATTCTGGGAAACATTCTTTTAATGAAGACCACTTTCCTGTAAATACTCATCAGCAGAGTGCTAGAACATCACTGTCCCAGTCACTGTTTGGCATTATTTCTAAGCTAACAAAATCTAACACACTTGTGATTCTTAGAGAAGTTAATGCAGTAACTAAATTTAATTTTAAATGCAAGCCAGCAGATACTCATATTCTGATAATAAACATGGACAATAAGAGTTCGCTGGCTTTCCAAGTAAAAGCACAATGGAGTTTGCAAACCCTGCAATGTAAATGTCCTCAGTAAACCAGCTATATAAAGATTTCAAATAAAAAATTAATATTTATTAAGATACTATTTTTAACCGCATCTTTTCTAGAAATTCAATGCATCATTGCTATGTGCACTCCACAGAATATGTACTTTTAAAAAAGTGTTGTGAAGGACAGTTTAATTCCAGAATTTCTTCTACAGATATCTGGATAATACACCATCACCAAAGAATCAACTGAATAACAGCCCTTAAAATGCTTTATTGAATGGAGTCTTTCTGTAATGTGCAGAAGATATGTCCTAAAAGACTGCAGTTTGATTTTTTATTTTTTTTAATATCCTCAACAATCCATTAAAAATTAATCTTTATTGAGGGTAACTCCTGAGATAAATAGAAGACTAGTGTAAAAATTTCCCCTAAAACATTTTCTGTTGCAGATACTAAAAGAAAAACAATGCTAATATGCTACTAAATGGAAAAAATTGGAAGTTGAGAATTGAGAAAATGAGAATGGAACTTAAATATCAGCCGATGGGGTAGTTTCTTCTGTTACTGTTATCTTAGATTAACATACATATCACAGTTCTCTTAGGAACATCATCAGGTTTTCAAGTCTAATTTTCAGAAGTTGTATGCTTTTTTATCTTTATAAGCTAACTTTACATTCCAAATAACTAGTCTTGCTGTCCCTTGCTTTGGGACTATTATAGTAATCCATAAAAAACCCCTTATCGGATTAACACTATAGGCAAATAGAATGACTCAATTAAAGAGGCTTTATTTTTTCTGTCAGAAATATAACCCAAAACTCCAATAAATAAAGGTTGATAGGAAGCTAGCATTAAGAATCCAAATTGTAACATGTGGAGATATCTGGGAGGTCAAATCCTCAAGCTCTCCTAATACTAAGGAGTGTCTGTAAACGATGAATACATAAATAACTCAAAATTATAAGGACTATGAAGTCTTAAAACTAAAACAACATAATCCAGGTTAACACCTCCCCACCACCACTGGATCATTTACATTTAAATAAGGTATATTTAACACAAAAAAGAAAGCTTTAAAGAAAGTTGAACAAAATTTGGTGTTAGGGCACACAGAAGCCCTTTGTGATAGATTCCAGTAGTGGTCCTTGTTTTTTGTCTCCTACAGATGACTACAAAGTTCAATTCCATCTGGATGTGATGTCTAACAAGGCAACACAGTGGTCACAATACAGCAAAATGTCACACTCTGTAAGCAAAAATATAGCCCACTGCAGAGTTTTCATTAATATGCAGGGAGAGCACATAAAAAGGTCATTGGTCATGTGTTACTCAAAGGCTACTTCACAGCCGCAAACTACTAGTGAGCATTAATCTTTTTTTTGGTCACATTACCTTTGAATAATGGGAAAGCTTTGGTGTTTTATAGTTTTACTCCTTGTACTTACATTTTTTAAATTACAAGGTCACTAAAAACTCATGCACACTGAAAAAAAATCATGCAGTAGTTAAGGTAAACCATCCAAGCAAGTTTTATTCATTAATATTCATAAATACACACAGCAGCTTCATTAGAGATTTTTTCATTTTTTCCTCTTCAGTTTGAATGTGGAGTATTAGGAGAGCTTTTTTGCACGTAAAGCTACAGGACATAGAGCTTTTTTTCTCTGCACTTCAACCTATATTTACCTGCTAAAAGTAAAAATTGGTTAAGTGGAAATGATTATCGTATATATCTTTTCCCTCTTCCTTTGAATGTACACAATGTAACAAGAGTGACAGACCTGAAATTACAATCACCAAAACAAACCCAAGATAGTTGTTGTCCACTTTCATTGGCAAATACAGCACAGAGGACATTGTCTGCAAAGTGGGATGCCATCAAAGAGGAGGCTCATTTCCTTTATTATTCTCTTTTAAATTTAGGTTTTCTAAAGCAACATCTAGAGGCATAATATCTACACAGCCCATAGCACCAAAATCAGCAATCTCTCCCCGTTCATCCTCATCTGAGGAGGAACTTTCTTCCTGCATCAAAGTGGACAGTAGAAGCTCTTGAACAAACAAGCTGCGATCTGCCTGTTCACTTTCTTTTGACTGACGTTCTGCTTCTGACATCTTAGGATCATTCAACCTGCATAGCATCACAGAAAGAGAGAAGACAGGCTTAGAAGTATCATCAATAAAATGGGCTTTCACTAATTGCCTAAACAGCTGGACTGATGCATGCTGAATAACATCTGAAAGCCATTCCTTTGAGAAACAACCTAGGTACTGCTGCACTTCTTTTGACATGTATAGATCTGACAATATCTGACACTCCTGATGCAAGAATACAAACGTTTAACAAACTTGTTCCTAGATGCTTAAAAAAACCCCACTTCATAAAAATACATTCTAAGGCTGAAGGGGAAAAATAGCTATTTCTCAAATTTGTTTCCCCTCAGAGGCGTTATGTTTTAAGTAGCATTAAAATTCTGTACTCATCGATTAAGTGCTCATTTTGTGCCCAGGACAACTTCTAAATGCAAGCATGACACAAAATACATTACTAAACACATAATGCCCAGAGATTCCCAAAGTGCAGTAGACCATTCCCTTCACTTATCAGTGCATGCACCACCACCATAGAAGCAAGAGAATTGCTTGTTTCAGTTCTATCCTAGCTCACAAGATCAGTGGCTGACATTTGCAGATACTTTCCTTAAAGTTATGATTTTCAAAAAGCTTTGGATTGAGATATCACAAGTTTTGATAGAAATCAGCATAACAACAATAACTTGTCCCAAACCCAGTTTCTAGACACAGAAACTGTTTAAATGTTTTTGTTCTTTCTCAACATGCAGTTGAAAATCAATATTCTAAACCTCTGAAAAGAGTTAGAATGAGAGTGGGCAACTCTTCTATAGTAGAATGGACTAGATGATCATTGTAGGTCCCTTCCGACTGAACTATTCTATTCTATAGATCTTTAGGATGTAACTATACTTTCTGAAACAGATATGCATACTGCTTATTAAGAGCACAATCCTTCTTTGCTTTTTTCATCCAAAATACTTTATATATAAACCTCTATTCAACCTTCAGCCTTTATTAAAGATTCATTTCCTATTAAGTAAAACTACCTTTTAAGTTCTCTCCCTTCACATTATCAGCATAAAAGTTTGAGACATATTATTGTAAAGGCTCTTGTCTTATCAGAAGTAGTAGGGTAAACAAGCACAGTTTAACAAGGCAATATCCCTTATGTTTCTCTTCAAATTGAGAAACAGCAAGTAATATTTATTCATTGCCTAGGAACAAACACCAGGGTTGAAAAGGAGATGTTACCAATGCAAACAAAAGCATAGTATCTCAACTACAAACTTAATTTAGTGATCTGGCAGTAGTTTCACTGAACTCTATGACCACAACAGGACCAAGGAAAACAGAAATGGCAGAGGAGTTAAAACCACAAACCAAATTACCTCATAAGAAGAAACTGGGAATTCTGTATAGTCTGATGATTGTTTTCTGTGTTAGATGTATTGGTTGCTGCTATAGATTGTGTAAGAGTGGTGGGGATGCTGCTTGTGTTAGTGCGTCTAGTTGTATTGCGTGCAGTTTCCAGTTGTTGTCTTGCTGCCTGTGCATGCTGTCTCTCCAACTGCAGTTGCATCTGCAGTTGCTGTAACTGAGAAGCAGAAGGGCCAGAAGAATTGAGCTGGCCTGCAGAACGTCTCACGCCTGATAACTGAGATAAAAGCTCTGCCAGAAAAGAGAGAAGTTTCTACAGTGAAATCTGCTTAAATACATATCACACAACAGTATAATTATGTTCTCAATACCAGTATATAAATTCCTTTGCTTTCTAATACCTTTAATCAATGAAATTCATGAACAAATTGTATTGATTTGAAAAGCTTCATGGGCTATCCATTACAAGCACCCCATGTCTCAAAGCCCATGGGAAGACTAGGAATCATCTAAAGAACTATGCAAAAGAGTCAAAGCTTAAAGCTTTTTAAACTAATTCAGAGTCAACCTATGGGGAATACCATATAAGCAATATCCTGTGCAAGAATTCTCTAAAATTTTATCTTCAACTTAAAATAGCTTTGACCACTTCAATTCTGACTGCAGTTGGTGGCTTTATGCACCTCAAATGCATATTTCAGAGGGAAACTGTGCTGCAGAAAAGACAAATAATTACAGCATAATTTCAGACATTTTTAGAAAATATTCCATTCAGAAAGGCTTTTTAAATGCTATATTACATGAAAAATATTTGACCATAGCAGGGGTTTTTTGGTGAGACTTTTGACCTTTGCTGGAAAAAGAGAAATTCTAATGATAAAAAAAGTTAAATAAATCTAGCCAGGATTCCTTTCCTCCAAAGTTCAAGACTGTGACAAATTCTGTCCATGCTAAGCATTTCCCAAAATAAACATTAATAAGTTATTGCCTGCTGATTTACTACAGATTATATTCCACACAAAGTTGTGAGTACTACTTTGTTGTGTATTATGCAAGGAGGGCAGAAGTAGTAGATTAGCTTTTTCCCCTATCCATCCAATCCTCGTTAAAGTTGCAAGTCATTATTATAGGTCATGAAAATTTTCCTTCCATCTTACTTTCATGATATGATTATTTGAAACTAGGCTTTTCTTAGGGGAATAAAGCACAATGTGGTAGCTCTTTGCATCAGGAACACTTGGAATACCAACAGTAAATGCTCAAGTCATTTTTAATCAGCACAGCTAATCATTAGCTACCAAAAATATTTTATTTCACTAATTACTGATAACCACCACAAGGAGAAAAATAAATAAATAATGCTTACATGTCTGTTACAAGCACAAGTTCTAACTTCTGGTAGTATATACTAATTATTACCCCAATACAAAGGAAGACTTATAACACTGCCAGGTAAGACAGATGTATTTTTCCCTCCTATTTGTAAGATCACTTTGAGTACAGCTTAACAGAACCCTGGTAGCAGATGTGAATTTGTAAATTTGAGACACAGGATTGGCATGACACATACACCCAGCCAGGCTGCACTACATTCTCTGAATGCAAAAAACATTGACACAAAAAAAAAAAACCAAACCCCCCCCCAAAACCCCCAAGACTCAAAGGAATACCATTTTATTACACATGCTTCTAAATGGGAAGGCCTTGTGAGGCTGAAACAAACCAAGGCAGCCACTTCATGTTTAACTCAGCTAAACTAACACTCAGTGCATTGGTAAGAGGAAGTGTTGCATTCCAGGACACACAAACATCCTCCCTTCTTGCACCAACTCTAGTGCTTTCAAGATTCATGACCTAACTTAAGTCATTACATTTTTCATCCTCTTTTGCTGGGATATTTTTAGTAGCAGGAGTGCATCCAGCAGGTCCCGGGAAGCGATTTTCCCCCCTCTATTTGACACTGGCAATGCCACATCCAGAGTTCTGTGTCCAGTTTTAGGCTCCCCAGGACAAGAGACACATGGACATAATGGAGTAAGTCCAGCAGAGGGCCACCAAGATGATCAGGAGGCTGGAACACAGTCCAGGAGGAAACAGTGGGAGAACTGGTTTTATTCAGACTGGAAAAGAATACTTTGGAAGATATCTTATTGCTATCTGAATCTACCCACTTGGAAGATACAGGGAAGACTAAGCTAGACTCTTCTCAGAGGCATACAGCAATAGGACAAGTCAGACAAAGAAAGATAGGAAATTTCAATTCCATCCAAAAGGTTTTATTTTTTTGTATCCCACTCACTTCCCCCCCCATCCCCTTTTAAAGCATAAAGGTTTTTGAATACTAGAACAGGTTGTCCAGAGATGTTGTAGGATCTCTGTCCTTGGAGGCATTCACAACTCAACTGAATAAGGCCTTGAGCAACCAGATCTAAATAGATCTCCTTTGAGAAAGGGGTTGGTCAATTTCAAACTAATTTTTTCTATCCTTTTTCTGCCATTTCAATGAGTTAAATCAGCTCACAGAGGGCCTGAAAGGCAGACAACACAACAGAGGCAAAGGAACTATGCCTGTGGAAAGAAGTGGGTGGGTGTGGGTGGGTGGAGCTGCAGTTTCCTCTTTCAAAAGCAAGACACTCTTAAGTTGGTTCACTGCCAAAGAATCATATCCAAACAATAAGAAGCTCCAGTTGAAACATTCCCTTCCAGGATCTGAAGCAAAGACAAATAATAGCAGGAACTTAGATAAGTGTAGGAAGTTCTGAAGTTTCCCTGAAACATCATTTTTCACTATAAAAGTGTAAGATTGATATCTCTAAGATTTTACATTAGACCATCTGGTCCAACCCCCCTGCCATGGGCAGGGACATCTTTCACTAGATCAGGTTGTTCAAAGCCCCATCCAAGCTGACTTTGAACACTTCCAATGATGGGGCATCCCCAACTTCCCTAGGCAACCTGTCCCAGTTATGATGAGTTACCTCCATCATAAAAAAAATTCTTCATTACATCCAATCTAAACCTATCCTCTTTCAGTTCAAAACTTTTGCCCCTTGTCCAGTCACTACGGGCCCTGATAAAACAAACAAACAAACAAACTCCTTGTCTTTCTTATAAGCCCCCTTTATATCTTGAAAGGCTGCAGTAAGGTGCCCCCAGTCTTCTCTTCTCCAGGATAAACAACCCCAACTCTCTCAGCCTTTCTTCATAGGAGATGTGTTCCAGCACTCTTATCATTTATGTGACCCTTATCTGGACCCACTCTAACAGGTCTGTGTCTTTTTTGTACTGCTGACCCCAGAGCTGGATGCAGAACCTTACACTTGGCCTTGTTGAACTTCATGAGGTTCCCACGGCCCCACTCCTCAAATCTCTCAAGGTCCCTCTGGGCGGCATCCCTTCCCTCTAGGGAATCAACTGCTCTACTCAGCTTGGTGTTGTCTGCAAACTTGCTGAGGATGTACTCAATTCCACTGTCTGCATCATTGATAAAGATATTAAATAGTACTAGTCCCAGTACAGACCCTTGAGGGACACCATTCATTAATGATTTCCACTTGGACATTTAACCATTGACTGAAAATTCTTTGGATGCAGCCATCTAGCCAGTTCCTTACCCATCTAACAGTACTTTTGTCAAACTCATCTCTCTCCAATTTAGTGGCAATAATGTGGGAGACTATATCAAAGTCCTTACAGAAGTCCAGATAGATGACATCCGTAGCTCTTCCCCTGTCCCTGATGCATTCCCTCCGAGATAGAAGGCTAGTACATTAGTCAGGCATGATGTGCCCTTGCCTAGGGCATGTTGTCTGTCTCTAATCCCTGCCTTCCATATGCCTTGACATAGAATCATAGAATCAGACAGGTTGGAAAAGACCTCTGAGATCATCAAGTCCAACCCTTGATCCATTACCACTGTGGTTACTAGACCATGGCACTAAGTGCCACATCCAGTCTCATCTTAAAAACCTCCAGGGATGGAGAATCCACCACTTCCCTGGGCAGCCCACTCCAATGCCTGATTACCCTCTCTGTAAAGAATTTCTTCCTAATATCCAACCTAAACCTCCCCTGGCAGAGCTTAAGACCATGCCTTTTTGTCTTACTGATAGTTGCCTGGAAGAAGAGACCAACCCCCACCTGGCTACAACCTCCTTTTAGGTAGTTGTAGAGAGTGATGAGGTCTCCCCCGAGCCTCCTCTTCTCCAGATTGAACAACCCCAGCTCCCTCAGTCTCTTCTCATAGGACTTGTGCTCAAGTCCCTTCACCAGCCTTGTTGCTCTTCTCTGGATCTGCTCCAGCACCTCAATATCCTTCCTGAACTGAGGGGCCCAGAACTGGACACAGTACTTGAGGTGTGGCCTCACCAGTGCTGAGTACAGGGGAAGAATCACTTCCCTGGACCTGTTGGTCACACTGTTCCTGATCCAGGCCAGGATGCCATTGGCCTTCTTGGCCACCTGGGCACACTGCTGGCTCATGTTCAGCTTCTTGTCAATCCAAACTCCCAGGTCCTTTTCTGCCTTTCCAGGAGTATCTGTTCCATGACCTTACCAGGCACAGAGATGAGGCTGACTGGTCAGGAGTTCCCAGGGTCCTCGTTTTTTTTTTAAATTTAATTGGTTGCATATATTAACATGTACTATAAGATTTTTCCTAAAGAAGCATTACATAATACATGGATACTGTAAAAAGATCTGATTAGTTAAAAGTAACAAGCATTAACAGAGATACATATAAAACTCAACCTAGTTGGACTGAGTGCTGAACTTGCAATGAACTATGGGTAATGAGCCTTCACAGGGGAAAACATGAGACAATTAAAATGTATGTAACTTGTTACACAGATTACCTGCAAACAGTTTCTCTCCTTTGGACACCTGGAATTAGATGCAGTTCCAACCATATATGAGTTTCCATTCTAAACTAAGAGAAAGGTCTGTTACTATGAAGTGTGATGTGGATAGTGTGGGGACGTGAGCTCTGAAGTGCAGGTCTCAGATGCTCATGGGAGATGGGTGGATTTTGACAGCTGGAGATGGAATTTTTTTTAATTTCATTTTAAACACAGAAGAGGGCCTGTGTGTTTGAAGGCCTAAGTGTGATATTTGTTTGTGAAGGACTGTGCTCAACCCCTCCCTTTCCCCTCATCAGCTGCAACTCTCCACAGAAGCCTTCATTCAGTCAGTCTTGTCTAGTTTGATGGATTCAGGGAATTCATCGTAAAGCTACACTTCGGTTTTCTGTTTAAGTGCATGCAATTGTCTGTAAAGGGTGTTCCACATTAATGGCCTCCTTGGCACTGTTTTCAAAGTAGGGGATGTTGTTTTTACTGTAGCACTAGGCTTGCACCTGTTTTGTGGTGATTTGTCTGTTTTCTAGATCAATCTTGTTTCCCAGAACAAAAAAAGGAAAGTTCTCAGGATCCCTTGGATTGGCCTGAATGAGGAATTCATCCCTTGTGCTGTCTAGGGTGTTGAATGTGTTGGGGGCCGTGACATCAAACACCAGGATGCAGCAGTCTGCTCCCTTGTAGAAGGCAACTCCCAGAGACTGAAATTGTCCATGGCCTGCTGTATCCTATATCTGCATTGTCACTAGCCTGTCATCTACCATGACCTCTTTTGTCAGGAAGTCTGCACCTATCATAGCCTTGTACTGGTTACTGAATTTCTTGTTCACATACTGTTTCATGAGTGATGTCCTTCCCATCCCAGAGTCTCCAAGGATGATGACTTTCAGTAACACTTTCTTCCTAGAAGTCATCTTTTACACTGGTGTGTGTGCTGCAGCGTCCAGCCCGAGACTTGCTTTTACCCTTCTAAAAAATGGGTGTGATGTTTCCCTTTTTCCAATCACTGGGGACTTCACCTGACTGCCATGACTTTCCAAATATGATGGAGAGTGCCTTGACAATTACATCAGCCAATTCCCTCAGAATTCTGGGATGCATCTCATTGGGTCCCATAGACTTATGTACATTCAGGTTCCTCAGGTGGTTATGAACCTGATCTTTACTTACAGTGGGAGGGACTTTTCTCTCCAAGTCCCCATCCTGCTGTCCATCCACTCAAAAATTCAAAAATACATGCATACATATCATATGAGGAGAGGCTAAGAGACCTGTGACTCTTCAGCCTGGAAAAGAAAAGACTCAAGGGGGAGGAATTTTAACAGTGTATATAAATACCTGATGGGAAAAAAAAAAAGGAAAGGGAGTCAGACTGTACTGCCCACTGACAGGGAAAGAGGCAGAAATTAAAACAAATGAAATCCATCTGAATACAAGAAAACACTTTTTACTGTGAGGGCGATCAAACACTGTAACAGGTTGCTCAGAGAGGTTGTGGAGTCCATCTGTAGGAATATTCGAAACCTGACTGGACATGGTCCTGAGCAACCTGCTCTAAGTGGCCTTGCTTGGGGGCATGGGGGGGAGGAAAGTTGGATGGGGTTGTACTAGATGATCTTGAAAGGTCCTTTCAAACATCAACCATCCTTTGATACCACCTGTGAACAGGTCAGTCGTGGGAACGAGCCTAGAAGTCTCTAAATTTAAAAGCACAAGCTAAAGGGGCAGTGTTTTTCATTTCAGAAGTTCCAGGTTCGATCCCTGTAGACAATCCAATTAAGGATACTTTTCATCAGTAAATACCCATCAATTACAACATTGGAAAGCATTTTTTTATTTTTAAAGACAGAAAAACAAGACAACTATTATCATCTTGGATTTTGTTTCAAAGTCTATTTAAGGACTCTGAGCTAAAATCAGTGGTTACAGCTCTTACCAGCTATAGGATCCATGGTTTCTCTATTGCTTGGAGAATATGAACTCTGAGAAGATGAAAGGCCACCACTGGAACTGCTAGTAAAGTGCATGTTTGATCTACGTGCACGGGGGCCTCCCAAACCCCGGCCTGGGTGAAACATTCTACGTACGTGCCGGACACCACTAGATTCATCATAACCAAGCAGTTAAGAAAAGTCTTTTGCTATCAAGTATTAAACAGAAAGAACATTTACTAGATTGAATAACTGGGCAACACACTATTCCTCATTCATAAAACAATGATTCAACTTTATAAGCGCCATGCAATCATAGCTATGGTGCCAGTCAGACCTATAGATGTGAACCCAAGGCACCCAAGGCTCCTTGCACTAAATTCATCTTTTCCAGGCTTTTTATCATGTCTAAAAAATGTCAGGATGGATTTTCTGCCTTATGGATTAAAGTTTCTACTAGGTAATGCTACAACTGATGATGCATATTCAGCAGAACAGATTACTCGATAGACATAAGGATTTTAGCATAAAAATTGGGAAAGAAGGGTATTTAAATACTGAAAATAATCTACAAAGTTTTATTGCTATTCTTACCACACAAACGTGTGAGTTTTACTCACTGAGGTCTTGCTGGGAAAACTAGGCCTAGACAAAACCCAATGTGAGAGAAAATTCTTTCCCATGAATAGTGCTATCTATTTCTCTGCCTGTCTGTTTGAGAAGTTAACTTCCCTTTTGCAAGAAGAGATTAAGTTCTCACAGACATGCCTGAGGCCTCTGCTGGGAGAGAGTGAGACCAGCCTTGAAGTAATGTGCACGCGAAAGGTGTTGTTATAAAAGCACCAGAATGGGTTTCCTGGGCTGCTCTTTCACCTGCTGCATGATTTAGCAGTGTATTTAGGGTTTCTGATATTGGAATAAACTTTTCCTTAATACCCTAGTCGTGGTTTGGTCATCTGCATATCAATTCTTACGGGGGGTGGGGGGGTAATCTCCTTTGAGACAGAATATAGTTGTCTAGCGGAGATTGGTTTGTTCCTCCTTTGTATCTGTTGATACTGGATACTGGAAGTCACAGAACATTGTCACTAATATTTTACTGATTGACTACTGCTCTCATGCAGTTTGGGAAGCTTTCTATAGCTACATCTGACAGAAAAATGCCCCCATTCTGAGCCTTTTTTTAAAGTAAACTTGGAAAATAAGATAACTAGAACATCCTTAATATAAATCCTTTGAAAAATTCCAGCCTTGGTCTCATTTAGAAAAGGGTCATAGTAGCTTGCTAGTTGCACCTTTCAAAGTGTTTTTAAGAAAAGCAACATTATTTAAATATACTAGTTAAGAGTATATTGATGTCTCACCCAACTATGATGGGGTTAAAAAAGCATTTGGAACTCTTAACTCATTGCAAACATATACTGAAAACAACCAAGCTAGAACCATTTACAAGGTCAAGACTAAAGCCATGTTTTAAACAGTAAAACAGTTGAAAATTGTTTAAGAAAGAAACTGGAATTCAAAGAGCTGTCCAGAGTCTCCAGGGATAAAGGTGGTATCTTGCAGTGTCTGCACAGGATTCTTCACAAGAAATATGTGCAGCCATTTAAAACAGCTTAAAACACCCTTCTAACTGTTACACACAAGACCATATCCTTTCCTAAACTGATAGCAACTGAGCAGGGGGAAATCTCTCCCCCATTTCTTCCTTTTGGTCTTAGCTGTCAGAAGACATGAAATAGTACTCAACATGGAAAAAGTAGTCCAGAAACTCTATCAAGTTTTGTGGACTTGGCAACACTGATTGCTAAAGTAATGTTGTACAGGGATTTTCACATGCATTTCCTATAATTATTTATAAAGACTCCCCCCATCAGTTTTGTTATGACTGACACAGTGGCCTTACTCAGAAACTGAAAAGATTATTCTGATTTCTCTAGCTCTTATGTAGCTAGTAATAAACAGACATTTTACAATTTAAAGTTATCTGACACCACCGATGTAGAAGGGGAAGGAAAAACTTCAGAAGCATGAATTCTAATCCAACACCTCATCCACTTCAATAGGAAGTCAATTTCACTGTGTAATTCAGACTGACAATTTAAATGCTAACAAATTTAAATACAGACCACAACCAAGGTGAAACCATTTCCTCTCGTGTTGCTAGCAGTAGATATAATGAGCTTGAGTTGTTAGACCTGTTGTTTTTTTTAAGAAGTCCTGAACAAAAAAAGGCACTATTAAATTACACCAGGAGTGTATTTTTTTAAATGAGATACAGAAAGATAAATCATTTCAAGATCACTTAATGAGTTTTTCATGATAGTCTGTACTTCCATGAAGAGTATCTTCTGAAATTGTGTTGCAAGTATTTGTACAGCAAAAAAAGTGCTACATTACTATTCCTAAGACCAAGTAACAGAAAGAAAATTGTACTTAAAAGTGCTAAGAAACTGACAGTTTGAGCTCTTCAGTCATTGAGAGTAGTTATATCCCTACAATTTGCAGATAACAAAGATAGTCCTAATTCCTAGGAAGTCTCCTGATAGGTCTTCTAGTTATATCTTTAAAAAAGTCAATAAATAACAAGCTGAAACTACCCTATTGAAATACAGTAATAAAACTAATCAAACACTTAAGATCCCTCAGTTTCAAAGTTCAAAGCATTCTCTAACAAACACATATGCTTTTGGTGAAATCTGCTTTCAGTCTTGTGATTATCTATAAAACACTATCGCATCTGGATTGCTGCTTTCCCATACACAAAATGGCATCAGAACTAATGACTAAGAAGGGTAAAAACTGCAGAAAGAAGCAGCTGGGTGTCAGAAACATCTTTACAAGGTTTCGCTATCAGGAATAAAACAAAAACACACACCCACATTGTCAGGCAACACCCAAAGCCCATTCACAGTTTGATAGATATAAATATATATACATATAAGCAATTCAGACTTATAGTTCCCCTATAACTAAACACCAATTCTAAAAAATAAGCAAAACTGATGTAGCCATTTGACTACAGAAGTCAGAACAAGCAGTTACAGCTATCATAAGGAACAGTCTATCCCTTTTCCCTCAACTTAAGAAAGGATATTAAATCTCTAGGAGCTCTGTGTTCCAGTGTAAGATGAGCTGCAAAGTCATCTGTGACATGATTAGGATCCCCTCCAGGCAATGCTGCACATATTGGACAGATCTGAAACAACAAAGTGAGAAGAAAAAAAACCCACAACCAACTTTACAAAAATCACAAAACACAATTCAGTTGATCACTTGACATGGATTCTTATACTTACTTATAATTACTTTTCCTTGTAATTATGCTTTTAATAATACCATGGAAACCAAAAAGTAAAATTTTCAAATCCTATCTGCAATGTTTCAGCTTTCAAATTTGTCTATGTCAATTCCAACACAGACAGTAGGTCTAGTTACACAGGATTACTGCTTGAATGTACCTACATATAACATTATCAAGTTCATTGTCATAGGTTTGAAAAGGGATGTTGGAATTTTTTCCCAATGTCTGCCCCCGCCACCTGTTTCTTACGGGATGGCGGGGGGGGGCGGGGACAGAGCAAAGCCGCACGCGCTGGGCAGCGCTGGGCAGCGCAGGGGTGGGAGGGGAGGGTGAGGTCACTCGGGAAAAGGAGGTTGCCAAGGGGAGGGTTGGGAGTCTGTTGTTTGGGGGCTTTGGGGTTTTGTCCGCGGACCGGACAGAGCGGGGAGTCCGGTTTTCGGAAGCCTCCTTTTCTTTTCCTGAGAGGAAGTTTTATTTTTCCCCATGGGACACCTCGCAGAGGACGAGTGAGAGAGAGAGACCGACCCATCTCAGAGCGAGTTATTCTGCTTTTAAGACTGTCTGTGGGAAAAAGGACTTTCTTTTCATTGCTGGCTGCGAGCACACGTGACTGCGAGCAGTTGTTGAACGGCCGGGACAGTCCTGCCTTTCCCCCCCCCCGGGTTGCCACGGGTTTCTCCCCCCCCCCACCTGGGGAATTGGAACTTTGTTTTGTTTCTCCTGAAAGTTTTTGATTTGTTGTTTATTCAGATTTTGTTAATAAAAAGCTGAGTTTTTTTCCTTTTCCACACTTCCACCTGAAGTTTCTTAATTTCTAAATTGTAATCCTGTTAAACTAAGACATTCATTTACTGCTCTTTGAATCCCCAAGTGACTTCTCATTCATCTCACCAGTGAAGTGTAGGAAGGAGAATGAAACTAGATGTGAATATTCATTCAAGTATCACAACTGAGACCACCCACTGTGGTAACACACAAGTAGAGATTTGGCAAAGAGAAACTCCTTATTCCTACCGAGTATTTTGGGAGATGGCATTATGGTTTCCTTTTTTTCTTAAGCCTAAACACATATTTTAAAAAAGTCTAGGGACACTTACTGCCTTAGCAACCTTCATTTATTATTTTGATTTTTCCTGCCAATGACTTTGCAACCACCTGAGAGAAGTGTGCCTTAAAAGTCCTTTACAACAGTTTTGCAGGCCAGCCTTAAAGCTTGACAGATCACATGTTAAAAAGCCAGAAAGGAGAAACTTTGACACAGTATATGTTGGGTCTTAACTATTCTTCCAGGAATATCAACCTGGACTTTACAACTGATAAGACTGTAAATTAGGGGGGACACCCCAGACTGGGAGGGGTGAGGGAATCAATAGAACCATACAAACCTATGAAGAAAAATGCAAGGGGAAGGGAGAGCAGGGAGGAACAATGGGGAGGGTAGACAGAAATGTGTATAAAGTGGACTGGTCACACTTAAGACAGAGTTGGTCAGTATGTTTGTCTGACTGAGCCTGATCACCACAGTCTGTCCTGTCTTCCTATATCTTCTTATTAAATCTTAACAATCTCTGCATAATCTCACTGTCTATCCCATGTGTATGTATGCTGCAAGGACTAAGTGCCAGCTACTGGTGAGACCTGTGTATGTATGAACAAAATTTGATGCCAGATACTGGAGTCAGACTGGGGCTGTAGGTGTCCCTGTGGCTTGTGGTGTCAGCTACTGGTACAAGTGAGGTTCCTAGCATCAGTAGTTGGAGGGGCCATAGCTCTCTAGACCTAGGGTGGGTACTACAAAGTTTGTGCCTGGAGTGCCCACTACTGGGGGAACTGTCATATGTGGATTTGGTGCCAGCTATTCCAGTCAGGCGTTGGCTACTGGACTGAGTGGGGTCTTAACATCAGCTACCAGAGTGAGTTGTGGTCTCTGCCTTCAGCCACTGGAGCAGGAACAGTATGTATCCCCAAACACAGCTAATGGGAGGGAAATCAGCATGAGTGAGGGGTCCAGCACTGGTAGCTGAAGCAGGACCACCAGTCACAGCCCATGTGGTGCCTGGTGCCAGCTGCTGGGGGAAAGGGGGAGTGGTTGTCTGCAACTTCCCCAAACCTGGTGTGCATGTATATTGGCTAGTAAACTTCAATCTGGACTAGCAAATGAGTACAGAGGAGCCTCGAGTCTAGGCAGAAGTATGAAGCAGGCAAGGGTCTGTGCTGGTATGCCCAGGGGAACATGCAAATGTGGAGTGCTTGTGAGATGAGTGCATGAGTGTTTGCTAGTGAGCATCAAGCTGGACTAGCTGGCAAACAGGAGACCAATGAAGCAAGTAAGAGTGCCTGGGATCCAGGCAGGGGTACTGGACAGACAAAGAGGGTCATGCCAGTACTTGAGGGATCACAGTGAACATGCATGTGCTTGTGAATCTAGAGAGTATCATGTGTACCTTCACTATAGCAGCAACCTTCTATCTCTTACAGGTGAAGAGGAAGGAGGCAACTTGTCTGCCCTATATTTATGTTTTATGCAAGTCCTACATGTAGGTGCTGTTGAAGGCAGCACTATGTCGGTGGTTATCTGTGATGGGCCATGTGTCAGTGTCCTCCATGTGTGTACAGGTCTCCGAAATATGTGCTCGGCTTCACTACTGGTTGAATCTGCAAACAGGAAAGTGGCAGCTGCATCCCTCAGCCTAGGCAGAGGCCCTGGGTCCCCAGGCTGGGCTTCAGTAGCTGAGCAGAAGGGACTCCTGGTCTGGATAAAGCAACCATGCTCTTAACATCCCTTAAAATTAAAAAATCACCATATTACTTGGAATGAAATCCAGGATATTACTAAAAAGCCTTAAGCCAGTTAAGCTCCAAACATCACAGTTGACTTAGTTTCTAGATCTGTTCCCTTATTACCATCACCTCCCCATATATACAAGTATACTGATTTTGGCTGGGATAGAGTTAAATTTCTTCATAGTAGCCCATATAGTGCTATGCTTTGGCTTTGTGACCAAAAGTGTGTTGATAACACACCAATGTTTTAGCTATTGTTGAACAGTTCTCACACATCATCAAGACCTTTTCTGTCTCTCACACTGCCCCAACAGCAGGTAGACTGGGGATGTACAAGTAGTTGTGAGGGGACACAACTGAGACAGCTGATCCCAACTTACCGAAGGGATATTCCATACCATATGCCATCATGCTCAGCAATAAAAAACACAGGGAAGAAAGGAGGATGGTTCAGAGTTAAGGTGTTTGTCTTCCCAAGAAATCATTACATGTAATGGAGCCCTGCTTTCTTGGAGATGGCTAAACATCTGCCTGCCAATGGAAAGGAAGGAATTAATTCCTTATTTTGCTTTGCTTGCATAGGCAGATTTTGCTTTCCCTATTATCTCAACCTGCAAGTTTTTGCACTTTTACCTTTCTTATTCTCCCCTCCATCCTATCCCATCCCATTCCACTAGGGCCAAGGGACAAGTGAGTAAGCAGCTGTGTGGTGCTTAGTTGCCATGAGCACTGGACCATGACCAGTATTTTTGGCATGCAACCTAGAACTCAAAGGGTTTGAGATAATGACAGATTTGACCAGAGCATATTAGAGGGAACATATAATTATTACAGCTGCTTAACCATTCCTGACCACAATATTCACTTATCTGTTCTCAATATTAGTTTATCCGATCTGTGTCATGCTCCTTTTTTTCTGTACATGTTAAAGACTTTTTGGCTTGAAAAGACAACAGAAACTGTCCCTATAGCCAAGAGAGCCAGTTCCAATCAACTTCAAGACAGACTTGCCCTTGGCTAAAGCTGAGCCAATCAGTAATGGTGGTAGCACCTCTGTGATAATATATTTAAGAAAGAGTAAAAAAGTTGCACAGCAGCAGCTGTGAGAGGAGTGAGGAAATGCAGAAAAATAACCCTGCAGACACACCAAGGTCAATGAAGAAGGAGGGGGAGGAGGTACTCTAGGCAGTAGAGCAGAGATTCCCCTGCAGCCAGTGGAGAAGACCATGGTGACACAGGTTGTCCCCCCTGCAGTCCTTGAAGGACCCCACACCAGAGCAGGTGGATGTGCTCTGAAGAAGGCTGTAGCCTATGTTGAGGAGCCCAAGCAGGAGATTTTCTGTCAGGACTGTGACCCTGTGGGGGACCCATACAAGAGCAGTCTATTCCTGAATAACTGCAGTCTGTGGGAAGGACCCATGCTGGAGTGGATCATTAAGGACTGTATCCCATGGGAGGGACCCCATATTGGAGCAGGGTAAGAGTGTGAGGAGGAAGGAGTGGCAGAGATGAAGCATTGTGAACTGACTGCAAGCCCCATTCCCTATCCTCCTGTGCTGCTCAGGGAGGGAAAAGGAGGTAGAAGAGTTGAGAGTGAAGTTGAGCCAGAGAAAAAGGGAGAGAAAGGTGTTTTAAAACTTGTTCTTATTTCTCATTGTCCTACTCTGTTCAACTGGCAATAAATTTAGTTTTCCCAAGTTGAATTACTTTTGTCCATGATAGTAACTGATGAGCAATGCCCCTCCTTATCCTGACCAATGAGCATTTTTCCATATTTTCTACCCATCCTGTTGCTGGGGAGGGAGGTGAGATAGAGCAGCTTGATGGGCACCTGGCAACCAGCAAAGGTTGACCCACCCCACCCGGTCCTTTCACTTCAGTCTAGTTGCTGCATTACTAAATACAAAATTAATCCACTAAGTGTGACTGAGTAGCAGAAAACTAATGTCTTCATTCTGAAACTTGATTCAAAGATGATATCTGATTGCATTTCTTACAATTTTCAGAGCTACAACCCTAAAAAAACCCCAAACTTCTACCTGAATGCTGTTTTTGAAACCCAATAGCAACAGTAACAATCATCATAATGCCAGCCACATATATCTGTTGCCCGGTATTGCTGACCATTACCCTTGATCATTTGATGAAGAAATAATAATTACTGTGCTTTCAAATCTAAAAATGAAGAAATATACACCAATAGTTCATATGTTTTTAGGAAAAAACAGGACAATTTTGAGTCTCAGAACAGGTTGACCAGTTTTACCTCCTCTGCTACTCCTTGATATAAGGCCCTTAGCAGGCTCTAAGAAGAGAGATTGTCCTTCTCCCACATAATTTCTCAAAAAAATTTTCTTTAAGCATGCACATTTTTATAGGAATCTACAATAAAAATAACTAGACAACATTTCCCTGAATGTCCTTCTGTAATCATACATTCCTCAGGCATGCAAAGTATTCACACACAAATATGAATATATTCCTCACTGCTGGAAAGATACCCAAACTTCTTAGTCAAGAATTTAACCTAGGATTGCTAACACACATAACTGTTGAATTAGTGAAGTGGACTTTAGAAAGAAATACAAAACATACCTGCACCATAAAGATAAATCTAAAAACAGGGCTACAGACTTTTCTAAAAAGAAAATTGTCTGAACACTAAGCAATGCAAGGATGTAGTTTCTCAACACTGTAATGAGGGTTGAGAACAAACTATTTCTAATAGTATCAAAATCCAAGTTATTTATTATTTTATTGTTTCCATAGCAAAGAATTCACTCACATTTCAGAAAAATTTCAGACCTTCTGCCACAAGCAACAGTAACATCTAGATGTAAAGACTTGAGAACACTTACTGACAAAAGCAGAAGCAAAACAATTGTTGCAGTAGGTTATTATATGGTATGTAATTGCTCTTCACCAATTGCCACTGTTGAAATCATCAGAAAAATCAAGTGGGAAACAGCAAGAGCCACTTTATTAAAAAAAGGTCAATATATTTAAAAGTTATTTATTTTTACAAGGGTTTAACCCTCTCTGTAACACCAGGATTTAGTGGGCTGCACACCAAGGATCCAAGGACTCAGCTGTATAACCTTGACTCTGATGAGAGAATGCTGTGAGAAACTCTGCAGAGAGGTAAAGGTGATGATGTAGGCAAATGTAGAACTGTTGAATTAGGCACTGTTAGTAGCTCAAGGAGTCAACAGGGAAAACACCAGCATAGTGTGTATGGTACATACCTTCCTAGTCAGCATTTAAATTAACACATACTTCAAGGAAAAAAAGATACTAATTTCCTGGAAATTTTCATATACTTTCATTGTAATTGAAAAACAATGCTGAAGCGGCTTACCACCTCTGTTGATGTTTCTGCGTGTTCAGAAGCGACATGTTCTTGAAGAGATGTTTCTGTATAACCCATCTTTCCACAATAAGGACAAGTAAAGGACTGTGGCTGCTCTACAGAGAAAGCTTCTCCACCATAATACAAATCTGGAAAAAGATGATGTTTTAGGAAGGGTTACTTTCAAGAAGCATAGCTCATTATTTTATTTATATGACCTCTTTATATATACCTATGTGCATGTAATCACTGTCAAATTAATTCATTAATTAATCAAAATAAACATTTTACTTCTGCACAATATATATGCCAATACTATAAAATTGTTCAATGCCTCAACTTCCAAAGGAATAGACAGACTACATAATTTTTACACTAGCAAACAACAGTGCTCTTCCTGAATATTAGAAATCTAAGTCTGATGGTGCTGCTGAACCCATCACTTTTCCCCCATCGTTGTTTTTACCTTAGGTGAGTTTGTATTACAGGTAAGATCACTGTAGATGTACTGTGGTCTCACAGCAAATCTATGTTAAATATTGTAATTTAAAATGTCTCAGTGACACCATCAGTCCATATGTTGATACTGATGCCATGGCTGAACCAGTGTTTAACAATAAGGGGAAATTTTAGCAAAGCAAAAGGAATGAGATGTTACGTACCATTTTCAATACTTCAGCACTTCTTGACTACCAAAGTAGCAACCTTCCTTGAGCTACTAATGTAGCAATTAACATGAGCCAAACTGATCATGAAAATTTAAAAAACCATGCTAAATTCATACTAAATTGCATTACTCCAGGAAAAGCTTCCTTCACTGCTTATACAGGAAGAGCACTAAGATGATGTTTAGGCTCAGAACACTCTCTAAAGGGGACTCGATGGCATACTAAATTAGATTTCAAGCCTAAGGGTATTTGGAAACTATAGTGTTTCCTAAGGAAATGGCTTTAGGACATCTGACAATCCCAGTGGGGAAGAAAAAGAACAATTTTGCTTCATCAACCACAGAGCTAGCACATTCTTCTCTCTGGTTGCAAACCTCCTGGCACTCATTCAGAAATTCACTAGCATTCCTCAGACAAAACCAGTATTTTGAGGAACCAATTAAGAACTCAATGTAACAATTTGTTCTTGTAGACTGAGGAGACATATTACTTTAAGAAGGTACACAGAAGGCAGGAATTTTAACAACACATCTTCGTACAAGTGCAACTTCATTTCAATTTAATATATATAAACTAAAAATGTTGACACCATACTGTCGTTGTTGGGACGGACACCACACTGGGATTTTATGCAGAAAAGCCTCTATTTCATACAAACATTGTTAATTTAGTCTCCCCTAGCCAGCGCGTTTCACCACCATTGGTGCCCTTACTACATAAACATGTCAAGATTGGTTGCTCTATAGCTTCTGTAACTCATGGTGACTCAGCAGTTTAGGATGTCAGGTTGCCTCTGTGATTCAGTAGTTCCGTCTTCTTTGTTTATCTTCTTCTCACTTGGATGTTCACATTCCTTTACAACCTCGCAGCTGCAACTGCTCAAACTCAAGGCCCAAGCTGTCCACAGCCCAGTCGCCTCCCACAATTCCCCCTCTTTTTGTTTTTAAACTGAAAAACAAAGGCCTGGGAGAAATTCTGACCAATCACTTGTTGAACACAGGACATCAAACAGGGAACACATAATAAAATGCACAAAACTCTGAATAATGTTACAATGACTATCTTTCCAAATCTAGCACTAACATTAAAAACATTTAACCAATCAAAAAGGACTATCAAACATTTGTTAGATATCTAAATTAAACAACCATGGATTAATATAAAACATGTTTACTTAAACAACTTACTTAACTTATTCTCATTATTCTCTATCAGAAATTAGTCTTATTTAAGTTATCCTTTTAACACTATTAAAACTGACTTATATGTAAATGGTTTTGAACTAAAACAATAACTTGATGACTTTAGGGTTTGTGCTCTTTAACTTTTGCCTAAGGGTGTTTCTAAAATAGGGTTTGTTCTTGAGAGCTTTTATCCAATCTAAAAACACTTCTGCAAATGGAACTTCATTCAATTTAGGGTTATGTGTTTTCTGTTATTTATTTAAGGGTGTTTGTGTATTTGTGAGCAAAACCAAAACATACACACAAACTCTCACAGTGGCCACTGTCAAACACACTTTCACACAGACATGCTTCTGAGTTTCACATCACTGTGTTTTACGAACTAAGAAATTATCATTCTTGTGTTTTGCCCTCAGATGAGTAAGATCTAATTATGCATTTCTTGTTTTTATGAAAGTGTAACTTGGAAAACACAAAGATATTTCTGCTTCATGTTCAATTCAAAACCCAAATACATACAAACATTCTTATAGTTTAAAGATAAATATATACTCCTTCTAAAGCAAAAACACACACTTCCCCCTGCTAATGGGCTTTTAGATTTCAAAGACAGCCTGTCAGTAGTCACTACAAAAACTTTAAAAACTCTACTTCTCCATTACCTTTATGCATATATCTTAAAACAATTTTGGCTATTTAGGCAAGCAACTTCAAGAAACAGTTATTAAGACCATCTCATGAACCTGTCTTTCCTCACTCCTCCCTCCCTTTTTTTTTTTTTCCGGAGTCTGTCTTAACATCATCTTCTTTTTCACTTTTTCTTTCAAATGGAGGGTTGTCAACTAATAGCAAAAAACCAATTAATCTCAATTTATACAAAACGGTTGTTTCAGGGATGAAGTTCTCATTTATCAGCGTTTGCATCATCTAATTAAGCACAAATACATTCCCACAGCATGGTCTGTGGTTGGACCATGCCATTGTTGAACAACTTAAACAGCATATTGATGAAAAACAAGGAAAATAACATAAAATATTCACAACAAATGAGTAATAGCAAAAGTGTAGATGCTAATATCTTTGTAATCATATCTATCTTTAGTGAAGAGATCGGAATAGGTTCTAGCTGTTCTTGCTTTGTTGGGTCAGCTAGGGTCACCTGCATGCTATGCTGTGGTTGTGGGTAATCATAATCTTTTTGCAGTCAGTATACAGGGGGTCGGCATCCTACTTTTGAACGTAGACTGAGTCTCCAAGTTGGAACAGATGAATAGGAGTGCTTAATCTCACAGGTCCAGACTACAGAATGAATCCGGAATTTCTGCAAAGTAGAGCTTAGACTATTAAACAATTTTCATAAAAGAATTTCAAATTTCAGAATTTTTGTAACTTGGCTATATGAGGCTTCATAGTTTGAAATGGTTGGCTGCCAGTTACTAATAAAAGGCTGCAGAGAATCATGTAGAACAAAGCAGATAGTGCAATATAATCAGGCACCAGGCGTTGTCACTGCTTGTGTTAAATGCTCAAAGCCTGTGTGCTGTGAAGAACCCAAGAGCATTAAGAGCATAAAGAAAAATATCCAGGACGTGATCAAAATTCACTCAATTAAGGCATTCAGTAAAGCAATGCACAAGTTAGACAAAGCACTCAAACAACTTAAACAAACCATCATGCTATGATGTTACCAGTCTATCAAAAGATTGCAGGCATAATGTGAGCTAGGGCCTATGGGGGGAGGGGGGGTGTCCAAAAAACATCAGCCCTTCATTTACAGCCTTGCTAACTAGCCATTTTCTTGCTTTCTAGCACTGTTGAGCTCTTCTTCTGTGAGGCTCAGCACTTCATGCATTGTTATTTATAATCTTGTGTGGATTTGTAAACTAAAAGGTTTCTTTCATATGTTGTAGCAGTCAGAGAGGAGAGAGAGATATTCCAAACAATTCTTGCCACTCGCTATAAAACTATTGGGACAAAACATATACAAACAATACCAATTTTCATGAAAGACAATAGAAATATAATATCAATAACTATAGTATTGTCTGGCAAATTGACAGTATTATTCAAACTATACTAGCAATCCACTCCTTTAAAGTTTTTCTAGTTTGGATATGATATAGAATTTTGAGTTTGTTTTCAAATTCCAGCCAAATTCATAACACAAATTCGATCATATTATGACCTTCTATATTGGAGCTAAATGCAAGTTTTAATTTTAACTCTGATTCTTGCTTACCAGCAATACAACACAGAAGAATAAGTTAAAATACATTGTTAGTGCACTACTCTAAGAAGCAAAGACCTTCTTAGCTCTGGTAATATTTGTTAGGGCAAGAGACCTCCTACACAAGAAAGAAAAAACAATGCATTTTGTTCTTCAAGATACATGGCCTGCACTGAATGGCCAATGCATGGCTGTGGTTGCTGCCCTGATTAGTACAAAATAACAAAAGGAATTAGAACAGTTTCCTCAATTTACTGTATATTGCATCATCCTCCCAGCTTCTGGCCAAGCTCGCTGGAGCCACAGATTGGCTCCTCAATTCATGAGAATTACTAATGACAGATTGAGAATGAATACATTTTGATTTGTGATTCTTTTCATTAGGTTTAATATTATTTTTAACCTTTTTTCTTTGAATCTCCACTGTGGCATGTGAGTGAGGTTTCGGTTTGCAGTGTTTCGCCTCTCCTCCCCCTATCCTGAAGTCAGGGAGATTCAAAGCGAGACAGGAGAGGTTTTTGGATTTCTTGCCCTCTCCTCCCAGACTGCAAGGCAAGATAATTTTTCTCCAACCAGAAGGTTGCAAAGTTGCAGTTTCTATAAAGCAGGAGGGTTCCACCCCCTCCCCAGCTCCGAGAAACTGGTATTTTAAACTTTCTTGGGTTTGGCTGGGGGAGGTATAAGCCTCCCGCTTGGTTGCTAAGCAACAAACTATCTCTATTGTGTGACCACACATTTATCTCTCCCCCTGCTAAGGCTGAATTTCGCAAGGGGGTTTTTTTACCTTTCTTTTTCTTTTCTCTCCTGGCAAAAACTTTGTCAGGGGTTTACTTGTTGCCAAAATTCTGCTTTTTTCTGCTGAATATGATATTTTGGCAGAAGGTTTTTACAGGGGTAAGATACAACTAAGAATAAGGCATTTCACCAAAACTTTCACACAAAGATCCATTCCTCGGGAACCTCCTAAAACTTTCTGCATACCTGTTTTTAGTAAAACACAACCCTCTCTTTGGGGTAACATCTGAAACACCTCTCCTGGACCCTCATCCCTGGGTTTTAACAGTTACTAA